TTTTTTTTTGCTTACTATTTTTTTTTTTTTGAATTTGATGTTTTCATTTTCTCAGCACGATCCGATGACGATGGTCGTGCCGTCCATCAACTCGGAGGCCGAGCAGCTGTTGTCGTCACTGCGCAACAAGAAAAGCAACAACAACAACAACAACAACAAGGCCAAGAAGGCGCAGCAAAAGCCTGCATCGACCGGCGATCGTGCTGGGTCTGCTGCTGCTGCTGCTGCTGAGAGCGATGTTGATGCGGATGATGCTGATGGCTTTGAAACCATCACGCACGCGGATGCGGACGGCGACGACAGCGACATGGATGAGGACGCTCCCGATGAAGCCCACGGCAGCGTCGAGCTGTTTCCCCCGCAGTCGACAAGCGCGTCGGCTCACTTTACCGCTCACCAGGTCAGTGTGCCTTTGATCTCAAAAATTGAATGCGAATGGCGAAAGTCATTCAAAACCGACCCTTCTTCTTCTCTCCCCTTCCCATAGTTTGCCTATCATCTGGCGAGTGCTGCGGGCATCTACGAGCCGCTGAAGGCGTATCTGAGGTCGTCGTCCCAGATGATGATCAAGCTGTGCTCTCGCGAGATTGTTCGCTCCCCCATTTCGTAAGCGCGCCCTCGCGTTGCTCCCCTCGTCCCTTTTCGATCAAAACCCTCACTACATTTTCGATCAATCGCACTTGCACCTCGCCTTTCACATAGGGACGCTGAGCTCATCGAAACTATCAAGACTTCCTCAAGTCGGGCTTCGACACAGCTTCTGCACCACTGCATTGAGTTTCGTCGCGTGTCTGTGCTGGACGCTGTCATTGACAGCGTGTTGAAACGACACCCGAACGTGGCTGCCGCAGTTCTGCACGGATGCAGGTACACATCACCATCTCTCCATCTCCCGTTGCATTGTTTGAGCTGGTCGACGAACAACAACAAAACTTTTGGCTCTCACTTGACTTTGTATCTCTCTTTTTGAAACACTTAGCCATGAGGTGGTCAAGAGGATCCTGGCGCACGAGCTGATCAAGTGCAACCCTCACTTGAACAAAGTCTATCTTCACCGGTACGGTTGATGAGTGTGTCGCCTGCAAGATCTTGTACAGCCACATGCGTCTATTGACTGCAACTCAACCACTTGACTGTATTGTTTTGTTTGTCCTCCTCTTTTTTTTTTTTTTTTTTTTTTTTTTTTTTTTTTTTTTTTTTTTTTTTTTTTTGCTGCAATCAAAGGTTCCCTCCCCGAGTTCTGGGCTCGCTTCTCCGCGAACAGTTTACGAGAGAGGCGGACATTTTCAAGCACGCAAGCATGTGGTCGAACATTGCTCAAGCCCGATATTTCTTCGAACGACAAGAGGCAAACCGCCTGGTCGACTTTCGGCTGCTGACTGCGTCCCCGGCAGCCATACCCGATCTGCTGCAACTTGTTCTGGATTTTCCGACATGGTCGCGACTCGGCGATGGCGATGCAGCTGTTTCTTACAAACACTGGCCTCGCGAAGTCTCGATCGAGTGGTTTGTCCGGCGCAAGGAGACTCGCGAGCGAACGGTGCAGTTCCTCTTCGACACCATCATGTGCACAAGCGAAAGCAAGCTGGTCTTTTCGATGCACATGACGCGTGGACTGTTGAAAGCTCTGGGAGCCGCCAACGTTGCACGCCTTCTTCAGACCGTCACCGAGGCCATCACACCCCGAATGGTCAAGGGAAGCTTTTCCACACTCGGCCCGTTTTTCAGCTCGTTCATCACTTACACCCCTGCGCTCGAACTCCCAGAATTGGTCTCAACCTTCCAACGCATGATCCAGCGGATTGCGCCGAGCCGCGAGCTTTTGCCTCAGCTGGTATCAAGCCAACACGATTCCCGTCAAGATGACCTCGTCTTGTTCGAGTACACTCAGGCGTTTCAGTACATTATCTCCGAGCTCTTCCGTACTGCGCTGATGAATGTGCAGGAATCGATTTCCATCAAGGTTACTCGCACTCCTGGAGGCACTTGCCCGATTTCCAAAGACCCAGCTCACTCATCTGCATCCCTCTTTTCCGTGACTGACGTCGCTCCTTTGGTTGACGTCGCGAAAACGGTCATCACTTCCTGGTGGCCGTCCATTTTCGTCCTTCCAAACCCGCTGGATTTGATTGCAGATGTTTCATACAGCAACGAGCTTTTCCAGCAGCTGCAAGCTCGCACCGCTATCTTCTCGGGCTCCCTCCACGCCCTCTCGTTTGATTTGGTGTCCATCATCCTCGACTCGATTGCCCCGTTCCTCAACCCAAAGTATTTGGTTGATTTTGTTGCAATCAAGGGCGATTCCACACGCCAAAACGAAATGCAAAACGTCAGCCGCACTCTTGTCCAGCTGCTCACGTCGGTTATGCTTCCCGTTACAAAACTTCTCGAAGCGCACGTCAAGGTGGCTGTCAGCGACGTTGCCCGTGCTCGCGTGCTGGCACGGCGTGTCCAGCAGCTGTTCCTCCCTCTCTTTGCTCGCATTCCTCTCCTGCACGCCTTCGAGTTTGAGCGCATCTTTTTGGAGCTGCTTGCTGGAGACGATCGCGTGGTGGAGGACTTTGTCGCTCGCCACACAGACTTGACTTCATGGCTCGAGCTGTTTGTCCGTCAAGCGGCGTCCTTCCGTACACTCCTCATGCTGCTGCCCGTCAAGGCCCGAGCTTCCATTACGGGGCCGCTCCTTTCGCAGACGGATTTGCACGTCGGTTTGTCGTCCACCCAGCTGGAAACGCTTCGAACTTTCAGCGATGTGTCGCAGCCAGCAGTACGCAACCTCATGCTCAAGGAGGCCAATGCCCCCGATGCCGCTGCTCGCTTGACAGCCATGACGCGGTATATTACGGCCGTATCCAATCTGAGCGACCCCGATGCATCGCTTCGCATGATCAACTCGCTGTTGCCCATGATTAAAAACGAACCGGCGGCAAGTCGCGGCGAAATCTTAAAGCTCCTGTTCAACCCTCCCAACTCTGACGGCCTGTCCCAGCTCCTGGTCACCTCATGGCATGCAGAGCTCGTGAAAGCCACCATCGACCTGCTCAAGGTCACTCTCGCCGACCCCGCGCCAGACAGCAAGGTCGTCGAGCTGTTCAGCACCACCAGTGCCAGTATGGCCGAAGAATCTCTCAACGTTCTTCGCGCAGCTGCCGTTGGCCGGAACTCACAGTCTCAGTCCGGCTCGATCGCGGCCAATCCTCAAGCAGTGCTCAGCGCGGCTGCTGAAATCCAGTGGCTCGTTCACTGCAGCCGGAAGGGCGCATCCGCGACCGCGGCGAAAGAGTTTATTCTTTCGTTGAAACCACCCGGATCCCGCTACTCTCGACGCGTCAAGTACACTCTTGCTTTGCCGGCGTTAACGGCCAGTCAAGAGGGTGTGGCTCTCAATGCCGCCGTGACTGCCCTTCTGAATGCTTACAAGCATGTTCTTCCCGACCAGTCGCTCGAGATCATCTTGCGCTCTGCCAAGCGCACGCGCAAGCTACTTGACTATGCAGGCGCCGTGTGGCCATCTGTGCCATCGCTTGTCACCGCCGTGAACGCGCTGCTCACCCGTTTACAGGCCATCTCTCGCCCGAACGCAGAGCATTTTGGGCTGTTTTCAGTCGTCGATGGCAACGCGGAAGGCCGTGATATTTTCGAATCCGTGTTTCTCCACCTTCTCAACAAGTACCGGACGGACAACACCAAGTCAAAGCATGTCCCGGCTTACAATGCTCGTTTTCGGCAGCGAGTCAGGGATCAACGCAGGCCCGCTGGCATCAAGCTTGCTTGGTACGATGTGGACGTGCTCAACAAAGCAGTCGACTATTTGCTCCAATCCGATGCGATTTCCACGTCCAAAATTTGGGCCAAGATTGCCTTCCGCGAGGCCATCCTGAGCCGAGATCGCGCCGAACGGTACCGCCGCAAGGAGGAGCTTGTCCTGCGCCTCTTGAGCCAGTCTCCATCCGCAATTTACCTCAACCTAGTCTCTCGCTTCTTGCTGCGCTACCGCCAAGATTTGCTGACGCCATTCATTGCCAAGCCGCAAGTGTTTTGTGGTCCCTTCTTTGTCGAAACGGAAATTCGCCGACTCTTCCCAGCGCTTCCCTCCCCGCCTCCTTCCAACTCGCCCGTCGAGTTCAACCGCTACATGCAACGGATTACCAGCCAGCGCTATCGCCGTACTTGCCTTCGCCGCTTTGTACAGTCTCAACGTATTTCACACGCTTCTGTGGAGGAGCAGCAAGAGTACGAGACGGCGTGGTCTGCGGCAGCGGCAGCGGCAGGGACGAATGTGGGCAACCGCAAGTCGAGCAAGGTCGGCAAAAGCGATGGCAAGGATGCTGATGATGACGACGACGACTACGAAACCGAAGACGATGAAGACGACAACGATGACGAGGATGACAACGACGACAACGACGACGACGACGACGACGACAACGACGACGACAACGACGACGACGACGACGACCAGCCCGATCAAACTGGCGTCTTCCGCTTGACGGCAGCGTATGGACTGCACCGGTTGACAGTTGCCCAAAGTCAAACGCTTGGAATGCAGTACCGTCAGGTCGTACTCGACGAGGCATTGCCAGCATCCATTCGTGTTCGTGCGGCGATTCGTTATACGATTCTGCCGAGTACGTCGTATGCTGACGTGACTGAATTCCTGAACGAGCACGCCGCGCCTCTGGGGCCCGAAAGCAGGGATACGACTCTGGAAGCCCAAGACGCATCCAGTGTCACTGCTACCAGCGCAGCGGCCTTTACTTACCCTCGTCTCGCGATTGCTATCGTGCACAAATTGCTGCATGGCCTTAGTCACACGGACGAACGGTTTGCTGCTCTCGAGTTCTTCCTGTCGCCTCGCTTCCTGGCTTCGGACGAAGCGCGTGTTGTCTTCCCAGCCATTCTTCGGATTGTACCGCTGCTTCCGTCCGCGAAAGTCCGGGGCTTGCTCCAGTTGTTGCTGATGGGTCGCCGCCGGCAGCTTCTCAAAGTGACAGTCCACAAGCAGCTGATTCGTCTATTCGCCCGGTTTGCTACAGACTGGAATGCCAGGTTCCTCGTGCGCGAGTTTGGGCGCGAACAGCTGCACCGTGATGTCAGATTTGCCGTGCTCGAGACTGCCCTGCGCCTCCTTGCCAAGCGCTCGCCGTCCGACCCTGCACCGGGGGTGGCCCAGCTGTGGAGCATGCTCGAGGCACTCGATCTGAAGAGTGAACTTCCGCGTGGTTTGCTCGTACTCCTTTCCCACAGCCCGGAAAATATTGGCAAGGAGCGCTTTCACGTGGGCCAGTGGAAAGAATTTACCACGGACAACCCCAAGACACTCGAGCTGGCCAGCGAGTTTAAGCGCATGTCTCTGGTCTGCTTGCCTCGAGCCCTGCGAGTCAGATACTTTGAAAATGTGGTGCTCCGTGTGCTCGCCCAAACTATTGATCCAGACGCGCCACAGGCCCAACACGAGATGGCCATTATCGCGCTTCGTGTTCTCGACCTGTGGTGCTTCCACGAATTGCACGTGACTTCCAATGTGTTTGTCAACGACGCCAATGCCGACCCCAAACCCGTGACCATTGAGGCGTCTGTCTTTGGCAACAACAACAACAACAACAACAGTGCCAATCCCATGTCTGCCGAGCACATTACTGCGTTGCGCCAACGGGCGGCCGCAGCTCACCGACTGCTCAATCTGCTGACCACGCGTGCAGTCCGGCTCCTGTCGGTGGAGTTTTGCACCGTCACCAACCAAGAGCAGGCCAAGCTTCGTTTCAGCATCATTTCAACAATCGTGGCCGTGTTGCTGCGTTTAGTGTTTCAGCAAGCCCGGGGCTACAATTCTCAACCGTCTGTGACGTGCATTCCGGCCCGCACCGCATTGACAGTGATCCTCGAACACGTTGTTGACAGTCTGCTACAAACTCGCCTGACGCTTGGGTTCAAGGCTATGCTGAACAAGATTCTGGACCAGTACACTTCGAGCCAATTCTTTGTCTCCCGACTTGATGAAACCGGCTGGCAGCCTATTCTCGCGAGGTGAGTGATTCTGCTTGGGGTTGGGGGCGCGGGGGATCATGTCCATCTCTCTCGTTGTGGCGATCGGATCGGCAAGTTGAAGCGCCGTTTTGACTGACACGAGCATTACTGTTGTGTTTTTGTGTGTTGTTGCTCTGTTTTCTTTTTCTGGTGTGTGGGTGTTTTGGTGTTGACTCGCAATCGTTGCAGACTTGGCAAGAAACTCGACAGCCAAATGCTTGAAGCTGAGTGCACGACTCTGCTTGCTGTGCAATTTGTCAATACGGGCGAGGCACTGCCATTCACTTCCACCAAAGTACTCGGGGTGGTCGAACGCGTGCTTTTGCAATGCAATGACTACATCGAGGAGGATTTGTCGACCACATCGGCAGCCAGAGTTAATGGTGACGACACACGAGTGCAAAAGGCATTGCCCCTTCTCAGTCGGTACGTCACGCTGGTCGCTTGTCACCTTCGGGGTTCGCCGTGCAGGTACGGTTTTGACGCGTTGGCCGATGCCGACCTGTCGCTGTTTGAAACGTTCATTGGCGAGCTTTTCAGCAAAGTTCCTGCGCCCACCGAGGAGAATTGGGCGCAAACGGACGCTTGGCATCGAGTCCTGTGCGGCGTGTTGACGCTTGCTCCAGTAGCAGTGGCGGTCGGTCGACAACCCTCACTGGCTGAGCCCCTGGTTGCATCTTTGATGTCGTACATCGAGCTGAGCCACGTCAAGTTTGGCCCGCCGCGAGCGTGCTGCTTTGACGCTGTGAAGGCACTTTTGCTGTTTGCACAGTTCCCTACATGCAATGTGGAGGCCGACCTCACAGCGCACTCTGCAGCAATGACGGGAGGCCCGAAGATTGCGCTGGCGACTCTTACGCCAAGCGCGGCTTTGATTGCTTCCGCGGTGCTATCCCGTGTTCACGCCTGGCTTGCTCAGCCCCGCACGGTTGATTGGTTGTCCGATTCACCAGCAATGGTAGTTGCTGATTTCGCATGGCTAGGGGCAACCGTTTTCACAACGCTCTTGGATGGCACGGTCAACAAACTATCTGCGGTCGTCGTGTCATTGCTTATCCTGGCGCAGGGGCTGCCGACAGCCAACCGTCTTGCTGCACGTCTGCTGAAAATTTCACACGTCTATCCAAGCTTGTCCCTTTCTGCGGGAAAGGCCGTGGCCGCTGTTGTGGGAAGCGTCAATGCGCTGAGTGCAACAGAATCCACTGCTCTCTTTCACACGGCTACAGCGCAGTTGCTGCAAGACATGGTCGAAGACCGGTCCGTGCCAACGACGGGCGTCATGTCGACCCTTGTGACATTGCTGGACGGCGGCTGGGTGCCTCCGACCACAAATCAGCGGTTTGGTCTCCAACCGCAACCAGTCGTTGCGAGCAACCTGCTGGGCTTGCTCCACCTCCAATATCCTGCCGTGGCTCGGCTGTTCTGGAAGCGACTGGTCGAGTTTTGTGCGGCTCGCAACAACATGGCTCGAAATGCTATTGTTACGTTCGTCGCCGAAGGCCTGTTCCGGGCCGGCTCGCCTGTTCCTCCATCGCGTGAGCTGATCTCGATTCTGCTTAATCTGTTTGAAGCGCTGGCCACCAACACCTTCCTGTCCACCGAGGAGCTGGAGCAGTTGGAAGGAGGATCGAGGTTTCTCGGTCTGGCTTCAAAAGAATTGGCCCTCGGCCTTTACGGCTGTACCGCCGTGTTGAAGTCCATCTTTACTCTTCAAGACCCGCTGCTCGGTCGGCAGGTATGTTCGAGTTCGAGGTGTGCTGGCATCGGTTTACTTGGCTCACTCATGAAAATTGAGTGTGTTGATTGTTTGATTGTTTGGTTTTTTTTTTAACTTTGGGGCGGATGGTAGATTTGGATTCCCTCTGTGGAGCAGGTGTTGGTTGCGTTGACCAACGATGCCAACCCGAGTATTACCAGCCGCGCTACTGCGATTTACACGAGGCATTGTCGCGAGCAAACCATCTAGTTTGAATCGGCGTGTGTGTGTGTGTGTGTGTGTGTGTGTGTGTGTGTGTGTGTGTGTGTGTGTGTGTGTGTGTGTGTGTGTGTGTGCGCGTGTGTGTGAACGCGATTTGTGTTTGTCAAAGAACAAAGCTTTGATTCTGCCTGAAGGTGCAACACCAGCAGTGGCAGTCACAAGCAAAAGCCCACGCATGCGTTTGGGCGCCTTCGTCGTTAGTCGCCACGGGTTCAAGACGAGCTGCCGTACCGAACACGGAGAAGCGCGTGGTTGCACCGAGCCGCACTACAGGAGAAGGAATTATGTCAGCTTCCAAATGCGTCCAGTCTCGGTTCAGTCTATTGTCGTTTTGTTTGCGATGACGCGAAAGTCCAAATTACAAGCGAGTCAACCTTCAGCGGCCGCACAGTCAAAGACGGTGACACGCACCTCGTCTTCCTTGGATACTCGGGTGAACGCAACGAATAAAAAATCCAGGCTCGCAGTACGGTGGCACGGGTTGTTGGGTGTGCTTGCTTCATTTAGATTGTCTTGGCGTCTCGGCAGTTCCCGCCTCTTTCTTTTGTGTTTTGGCTGTTTTCCCTTTTCATCATCATCCGACTATGCCTGTTGCGCCTGCGCGGCTTTGTGGCTATGCACATATGAGTTTTCACTGCAGTCTTGTTATGCTTCGCGAACGAGTGACGATGCCTGTGTACCGCAAGTTCTAACTCTACCAATTGTTGTTCAACAGACTGAGCAAGATGTTGACAACGCAACCAACAGCGATTCCCGGCAGTGGAATTCCATGCCAAGTGCTCAGGATCCCGTGCCGGTCTTGTCGCAAGCCGAAGCGAAGGCCACGAAAATTGCCTCAACCCCGATGGACACCTCCAATGCCAGCTCTGTGAGTGGAAGATGTACAGTTTCTGTTGTGAAGGTTGAAGCTGACGATGGGTGTTCAAGCAGGGTGCTGGTCAAGCGAGCCACAGCAGCCAGGCTGCACCCGTGCAAGTCAGTGTTCAAAGACGCGTGGTTTCTGAGATGGATTGGTGGTATGCACCTCAGACTGACAAGTGCATGTTTTGTCCACAGGTCCCTGCTCACCTCACAGCTGAGGAGCAACAGCAGTACCGTGAATTGAAACACCCGCTTCTTCAAGCGCCATTCAGTAAGCGTCGTTTGACGAGATTGGTGCAAGCTGTTTCGACTCAACTCGAATGACTGCGACAGACCACGAGTGGAAGATTCCCAGCCTCTGTAGGCTTCTGCTCAAGGAATTATCGAGTCAGAAAGCTGCCAGCAAAGAAGTCCAGGCACTCAGCAAAGTGCTTGGCGAGTTCAAAGACACCACAGCGCTGGTGTTGTGGCCGTCGCTCGTCTCTCTGTTGAAGGATTTTCAAGGACAACGGGAAGCACTTCGGTTGATTGGCTGGGCCGACCAGTGGCTCAAAGAGCAAGGTGAGAGCCGTGTATGAGTCTGAGTGAGTGAGTGAGTGAGTCAAGGCGTGAGTGAGTGAGTGAGTGAGTGAGTGAGTGAGTGAGTGGGCGAGTGTGTGAGAGTGTGTGAGTGTGAGTGAGTGTGTGTGCGCTCATGAACGCATGCTGGAACAACAGGAGAGCTGAAAAGCACGCCAGCCATGATCCGCGATTCGCTCCGTGGCCTGATCACACCGGAGCGAAAGCAACCAAAAAACGTACGTTTCTAGTCAAGCTAGATGACCGAATTGTGACGTTTGTCTAATGTTGTTGCTCTGCAGGACAGCTACACACGACTGACGGAAACCTCCTCCTCCATCGAGGCGCTGCTGAAGAAACGTATGATGAAGACACTCGCAAACGACACCGATCCACTTGAGCATCGGTCGTTTCTTGCTGCCACAATCCCTGGTACTGGGAACTCGGGTCTGTGCGACGCGTTTGTGCATCAAATTGCCCCGGAAGCTCATCGTTACAGAGAAAACGATCCGTTGTGCTTATCCGTCTCTTTCGACGGTCCTTCCGGTTTCGACTCTGCAAACGACTGGACAGTTCTCAAGCAAGCCAATCCGGAGCACGCTCTGTCGACTCGCCTGCTGGCTGCCTACTTTGAAATTCCCCCGAGGTTTTTTCAGGACAACTTTGAACAAACTGGCAGCTTCCAGGTCGCTGCTACGCTCCAGTTCATCCAAGAGTTTGAGTACTCGGCTCGTAACGACAGTCAGCAGCCCACGAGTCATGATCAACTGCCGTGGCTTGCCATCGCTGTTGACGGAATTCAACAGTTGCTTGGCTGTTCGAGCTGGCACAACGCTCAACGTCAACGTCGGCTGCTGGACAAGACTCTCGCGTCACTCAAGGCTGCCGTTAAGCGCCCCGCAGCGCGACTCTTTGTGCTTTACGCTGGCACTTTGTCCGATGACCTCACCACTGGCCTGATTGAGTCGCTCCACTCTCAAACCTCTGCTTCAAGCAAATACAACGTGGATGAGGAGGAGGTGCCTGAATCCCAGCGCGTGGATGCAAACCTCGAGGGCCAGTTGCATCCTTCCGGTGGCATACCATGCCACATTGAGAAGGTTCTTGGTGTGATGGCAAGTGGCGCGGCGGCTACACTCTGTCTGAATGCCCGCAAGTTTATCGAACTCGTGCACTTCTGTGCGTTCGACGCGTTCTCGATCAATCCTTCAAGTCTGGATGCCCGAACTCGCTCTTGGATTAACACAGGATGTGCCTTCGTCGGTCAGTTGGCTGGTTGTCACACTTCAAGATGCTGGATTTGACTGATTGTTGTGTTGACTCCTTCGGTCTTGTTGATGACAAACCACAGCGTGCGAGAAAGACAGCAGAGGGTCGTTGCAGTTCAATTTGCACGACAAGATAAAACTTGGTGAGAATTTGGGGAATTGCTTCTGTGACATGAGAAACGACAAGTTGACGCGCTCGTTGAGTGTTTGCAGATCTGCGTTCGGGTGAGGTCTCACCGACATGTGACTCGCTCGAACAAACTGTGCGCTCGGCCTACCGCCTTGTCGATGGACTTCAGCGCTGGCTGGACCGTCACTTCTCGTATTATTATCATACTGCAGTTGCGTGGGAGCATACTGTGGGCATCCTTTTCAGCTTGCGATTGATTGTACTTGTCGCCAAAGCACTGCTGGATCATGCTGACGCTTCGAAGCAGCTTGACAGTTCAAAGCTTGGCGTTGCAACGAAGCTTGGTGCTTCAAAACAGGCAGACGCTTCAACGCTTGGTGTTTCGAAGCAGCTTGACGCTTCAAAACAGCTTGACGCATCAGACCAGACCGGTGCACCACAGCTGCCGGCTCACATGGACGTACCACTGAGTCGGCTGCTACCTGGCGTCAAGTTTGGTGCGGGATGCGAGGATCTCCAACTGCGATTGACACTGAGCGATTGGAGAAAAGACATGAAGTGCATGACAAAGATCAACAATGCTGAATGTTCACTCGCGACTCACATTGAGCCGGCTATTGACTGTTACATGCATGCTCAAGTCGTCGAGAAGGTAAGTTGCCAAACCCTACCGCCCTTTTGTGGTTTCGGTCCTTACTCACGGTTGTTGGCATAATGTTGATTGCAGACCAGCGGCAAAGTGCGTCCGGCAGTCATTGGACTGCAAGTAAAGCATCACAAGTCTCGTCTCACCACCCAAGACGAGATTGAGAGGCTGGAAACAAATGCTCGGAAGGAACTCGCCAAGGAATATGTCATGGAAGAAGGCACTGTGATTCTTGTCGGAGTCATGTTGACGTCTCGAGTGACGATTGCAAATCCGCCGCCGCTTTCGTGGGTGATGCACCGCGGCGACCTGGAGCAATTCGCTCAAGGCTTCCAGATGACAGTTCCTTGAAACCGCTCCTTGCACTGCAAGATTGCATGTCATTATCGCTCACCACACTTCTGCCGCCCTCGTAAAACGTGAAAAAGCGTGATTAGAGAGATGCTTGTTCAACAGTAAAACAACATGAATGTGGAATGCTGTTGACACTGTCAATTTGTACTGTGTGCACAAAAAGCACAAAAATTCAACTCGAGTCACGCAAAGAATCAACCAAATCAAGCAAGCTCCACTTTAGTATTCAGAACAGCCACCATTCTCGTCAATCACGTCTTGGATGCAGTGTGGTATCGAGGAAATGGGATCTCGGCAGACTTTCTCTTGCAATGGTACAGCTTGAGAACCAAGACCACTCCTGGCGGTCAAACTTTGTTATGTGAGGAAAATGATGAGCGGGATTGCGCCGCTGCTGATGATTGCATCGAGTTTTAGATTGGCTCTTCTCTCCGACTGCAAACTCATCTCCTTCCATTGGCTTTTGGACGATCTTAACCGAAGTTTCAATCATGCTTTCTTATACTGGCTTTGTTTGCTTTGAGATGTGATTGGTTGCTGGTCCGCCGGGACACAAAACACCAATGCACGTCCACTTTTCGACTAAAGTTGCTCACCAACCATGACCATGAACGCCGAGCACGGACCTAGAACGAGCCAATACACACCAGGATTGGGTCGCTTTGAGGTTGTTCGGCAGTCTTTGTTTTTTGCTGTTTTAATTTACCACACTTCGAATGATGCTGACGTATGCGAATATGAATCAGACACAGCGCGAGCTGTATGACGAAGTCACAAATGAGCCCAACTATGTCATGTAAGAAGTTGAGTTTACTGCAATGCATGTGGCAAGGAGTGCACTGACGAAGTGGAGGAACAGTCTGTCTGGCAGAAAGCTCGGCGACGCTGAAGCACTGGCAATTGCTGAGGCACTCAAAGTGAAAACGACAGTGACCATGATCAGGTAAGTTGTTTGTGCTTGTGATCCAGCACAGCATTCAGAGTGCTCAACGATGGATGATGGTACGAACAGTCTGCTCCACAATGAGATTGGCGAAGTTGGAGCGCGCGCGATTGCTGAGACACTCAAAGTGAACACCAGGCTGACTTTTCTCAAGTAAGGCATCTCGGTCATACGGCAATACAGGAGTGGGGGACTATTCAACAAAAGGCACTAAGAGTGGAGCGGATGGGCAGTCTCGGCTGTAATCACATTGGCGATGCCGGCGCTCAAGCGATTGCTGAGGCACTCAAAGTGAACACAACGCTGACTACGCTCTTGTAAGTCATCTCACTTTGACTGATGCATGAGAGTGGATGATTCAGCACAAGCAATTGTGAGTATTGACTGCTGGAGGATGGACAGTCTGGGCTGGAGTCAGATTGGTGATGCCGGAGCTCAGGCGATTGCCGAGGCGCTCAAAGTGAACGCAACGCTGACTGAGCTCTTGTAAGACACTGCCACTAAAGCGCGCGTGGGTGACTACAGGAGAGAGACAGCAAGAGTGGCTCACTGATGGGACGGGACGGACAGTCTGTGGCACAATGAAATAGGCGATGCCGCAGTTCCATCGATTGTCGAGGCGCTCAAAGTGAACAAGACACTGAAGACGCTTGAGTAAGAATTGATTGCGGAAAATGCTCGGACGGTCACGAGACTCATGCTATGAATCATCCGACAACAGCCTGGACGGGAACTTCTTGTCCCGAGGTGCAGTCGATGCACTGACACAAACGGGCAATAAAGGCACTACCTGTAAGCACATGAGGTAAGACTCTGAGTATTCGCACGAAGAAAAATGCACAACACAACGGTTAGATGCATTGGCTGAAACTATTGTTGAACAGAGTCCAACCCAAGAAAGAGCCGTCGCCCGCCACGTCGGCGCTGAATGCCGCTCCCGCCGCCGCAAGCATTGTGCCTCAGAGTCCCGTCACTCTTGCAACTGTAAATCAGCGATTGCACTCCGAGTTGGCTGCCAAAGATCAAGAGCTCGCTGACGAACGGCAGAAGCTCGCGATGAAGGAGCAGGAGATCGCAGTGAAGGAGCTGGAGCACGCAGCCGCAAAGCTGGAGCTCGCTGACGAAAGACAACTACGCGCTGCAAAAGAGCAGGAGCTACAAAAGCTTCTGCTCGGAGTTGAAGACAGAGAAGATTGGATCGATGTAAAGTCGCCAGCGGACGATGAAGAAGCAAATGTTTGAATAAAATGAAAACGTTAAAGAACTATGGGAGCATCGTGACACTGCGTGACAAGGAACGCAAGATGCATGGAGAATGCGCAAACAGGAAAACAGCGTAGAAGCAAACGAACAAGGGAAGTTAAGCGTTCCTGGGGGAAACCAGTCGTTCTAGCTGCGCTTAGACAACCAACGGAACAAACAAA